GATATAATGATATGTTTGATGTGTATTGATGATGTAACAGTCTGAGTATAATTACGAAGTATGATGATATGTGGATTTTGTGATGAACTGTTGTTGTACTACTATATCTTTGCCATATATCTTTTATAATAGTCTGTGATTACTCACCCTTTCTGCTTTGAAATGTTACCCCTATATGTGGATAATTTGCAAGTAATCAAGATGAGCTCATAGAAGTTCGAGGATAACTTAGAGTTATTTATTTATTTCCGTATTGTTAGTGGTCTTGCTCTGATATTGTAACATCGGGTGGGAAACTCGTGAGTTGAAGTTCAATTATTTTGATAAACATATTTTTATATGTTGTACTATGTTGGGTACATTTGATGATGTCTTTTGATATTGACCGAAAATGTTTTGATATTGATGAACTAAATGAAGTTATTTTGAAACTATGACTCCACTGCGAAGTTTAAATTTATTTGTTGATGTTACTAAAGAAGTGATTATTATAAATGTTTTGAAAAAAAATTCGTGTTACGGAGCAGGATGTTTATATGAAGATGTAACACCCTTGTTGGTGCTTGACTCTGATTTATTTTATTAAATAATTTGTGAGTTTAGAAAGGTGTTACAAGATCCGCCGCTCCAGCTGGTGGATGTCATTTTATTCTTTTTACTTTATTTTTATTAATATTAAGATCTAGAAATTAGATTTTTTTTATGTGACATTGGGCTTTGGTATTTTCTATTAACACCACCCCCATTTTGTTAGCCCAATATATGACACACTCCCTTTTTTATTAATTAGTTTTTTTATTTAGGTAATTTAATTATTTTATTTAGATATTTATTTTATCCAAAATACAAAAACAATAAAAATATGAAAATATAAAAATATGTCATTTTATTATTAAGTTTAGATCTACCTGTAAATTATTACTCATGTACGTAATTCACTAACTAAAAATCAAATACCAAAAATATTAGAATAGGCTTCAATTCTCTTTTAAGTTCAATATTTCTTTTTATTTGAAAATCATAAATAATATTTGAACTAGACTTTTTGATATCTTTTTGGTATTAGAATTTCTATACTTGATAATCATAGATAATTTTTAAAATTTAGGTTTTCTAAACTTTTTTATTTCTTTTTGTTATTAGAGTTTCTCTACTTAATAATCATAGATAATTTTTAGAATTTAAGTTTTAATTTCCTTCGATCTTATTATTTCTTTATATGAAAATGTCATAAAAAATATTGATAGTTATTTTTTTTATCTTGATTGTGTGTTTGTTTGATTCAATGTCATGATCTCTTAGGATATCTTAATTTGATTCTAAATCTTTGATTAAATTGAATTTGAGATTAAACATTAGAGTTTTCTACCAAATACATGATAATTTTAGGTTAGATGATAACTTTAGGTTAGTTTTCCCTTGAAATCTCAACTTTAGGACCATTTTTGCATGACAACAATTAGGATCGAGTCTCCTCTTAGATTTTTCTTTTGCATCATATCCTCTCAATAACAAAACTTATTTTCTCAATTAAAAAAAACACTTAACTGTTCAAAATTCTTTCAAAATTAAAGGTGTGAAGGTGATGAGTGTCTCCTTGGATGAGAGTCCACTTATTATCCTCCTCCTGGAAAAAACACAAACTAAATCCAAATCATTTTGCCACTTGGTTTTTCTCCTTAAAACCTTTTCAAAAAGGACATGTTAACTCCATTCTACCGCAAACAAACAAGCTCTAATTGCTAGAATGCGAACTTAACATCGTTCATAAAAAACACACAACAAATAAGCATTCTTAAGAAGAACTACAATGTTATTATTCCTTTCGAGGATACGTAGGCATGTGGTTGCAAAGCTCAAGCAAACACACTAATAAAAATATTTTCTCTTTCCTAATGAATTTACGCATACATTACCATTTAGCAAGTAAGTTGTAGATATATACACACCTATTATTTAGAATAATAATAGTGGATCCCATGGAACACCACAGACGTGAGGAGTGCCAATACCTTTCCCTTGCGTAATAGATTCCCTTACTCGGGATTTGATTGAGAGACCATGTTCTTTTTCCATTTTAAGGTTTTCTCTATATTTTTCTTTCCCTATCTTCGGGATAAATAAAGTTAGGTGGTGACTCTGTTTGTTTTAGGATGTTGTGTGTGTGAGTATTTTTTGCGTAGCTTCACTACTATCTGGTGGGATAAGCTTTTTGTTCAGAGGCAAAGGCAAAGGAAGGGGTTAGTCAGAACTTGACGAAGAATGAAGCAATTGATGCTGGAGCAGTTTTTTATCAGAGGATTATGGACGAATTATTTATAAGATGTATATTGAGTATGTTCAAGGCAAGAGAATTATGATAGAATTTACATCTGAGTTCATGCATCTTTCTGAACATAATGAATTGGGAGAATCAGAGAGTTAAAAAATGACTCGATACATTAGTGGCTTGAAGGAGCTCTTGCAGGAGAAGATGGGTTTACATATTGTATTGATCGTGGCTGAGACATCCACTCTAACTTTAAAGGCATTTACGTGGATAAGTGAAATGAAATAGAGGTTAGAGAATATGTACCTTAGAATCCTTTACGAAGGTATTTATACATTGGGTATGACGGAGTAGGCTAAATAATAGGCCCCGTGCTATTGGACATTTGGCCGAAATAGAATATTGAATCCCAAACCTTTGACCGACACAGAACAATTATTATTATTATTATTATTATTATTATTATTATTATTATTATTATTATTATTATTATTATTATTATTATTATTATTATTATTATATCAATAACTTATTCATATTAATATATATTTAAAAAAACATAAAGAAACAATGCTAAAATCGATCTCTAGACAAAGAACTAACTTTCATTTAAATCAATTAACAAATATCAGTTGAATTATCCCACCCACCACTATTAATTATTATATTCTATTATGTTATATTATCAACAAATATATTGCATTCTATTTATTTTATAATTTAAGTTATTCTAAGTTAAAATTTTCTTATTTTATATAATTTTATGATAAAGAAAAGAATATTGATTTTATTTTTTTATCATATCTTATGTATTTATTTCATTTTTTTAAAAGATTTTATTTTTTTATTTTTTAAACTTTGGCAATTTCCCTTTGTCATTATCAAATAAATCTGGGTCAGAGCTATCCAACTCATCACTCACATATTCTTCATCCTCACAACTTTTCTGTTCGGACCCAATCATAAACTCACCAACTGAACGACTCTCATTAATGGATTTAGTTACATCAATCCCTTCAAAATCATCTAGAATAACAATGGGCTTCATCCTCACTATCACCCAACCCTTCTACTAAATCATCATCACATCCTTCCATCTGAACATTCTCATTAACACATCTTAGACTACTTACTGAGACTCCAATATGAGTAACATCATGCTCCACGAACATTTTTCCGTCTAGTTGGGTCGCACACGCGTATGCAGCGAAATCGTAACAGTAATCATCCTTCCTAATCTGGAAATAATTATCATCTATTTCATGAATTAAAGTCCACGTTCTATATGTTCCCTGCTTGTAACTCCAACCGGTAACCCACCTATGTATGCTAAGCGTTGTCAACTGATCCATATGGAGATCTGAAACTAAAGTACATACACCCCCTCTGTAAATCGTAATCTCATTATTCAATATTACAAATTCACCTCAATGGTGGAATACAACATTGAACAGTTGATTATTCTGAAATCATTTGGGAAAACATTAAAAAACTGACATTTAACTGTATGTATGAGTAAACGAACAAGCAGTTGAAAAAACTTAACTTTTCAGCATCAACAGAAGCGCCTTCTTCGTCGTGCTTCTTCGGTTGCCTTGGATGCTTCGATTGTTTCGGGTGCTTCTTCTTCTTCATTGCATGTTTCTTCTCCATTATCAGCTTGCTAAGTTTGTCTATAGTGAATCCTAGCTTTTCAAGGGAATGAATCAATTTTTTCAAAATGATATTGTATTGCGCTTTTGCGAGAGTTCGAACCCGTGACCTTCAATTTATAAGAGTATAAGATGAAAAATAATTTTTGATATGCGCCTCAAAACTATAGGATGATGTGTCAAATTTAGAGTTATATTTAATGATGTATTAGAGTTATAATTAATGATATATTATTATATTATTTGATGCATTGGATTTAATATATTATATAAATTTTTTGTAACAAATATTATAAATTAATCATATTATATTAATTTTTAATATAAATAACATGTTATACCATTAATTGATTTAGTAGCAGTTTAAGAAAATTAAAACATATATATATAAAAAAATATTTTAATTTAATCATGTCTAAAATCATACTGGTATGTTTAGTATCAGAGGTAAGACAATAAAAATAATGGGAAAAAAATCCAAAATTAATGAAATCCAAAATAGAGCAACTGTATTTCTTTTATTAAACTGCTACTAAATCAAAAAGAGCAAATTCAATCTTAAGGATAGAAAAAAGCAAATTCAATCTTATAAAACTTATTAAAAAAAAAGGTGCATTCCTTAAAAAGATGCAATCTTTTTAAAAAAATATAATAGGGTAAATTGATATTTATTAAGATTTATATAATAATAATTGATGCTGCTCTAGGGTTTTGCGACCAACCCATTTAATAGTTGTATATTAAATCTAGAAACAAGTCTTTAAAAATAACAATTAGAGACCCTCTTATAACCTAATTCAAAATCTCACATACATTAGGTTTCGTCGTTGTGAAATAAATGTTCTTTCATTGAATTAAAATATATAAACTTTTAAAAACCCTCACTAACTTAAGTTGAAGTCCTTAGAAATAAACCATCCTTTTTATTCCGAAGCAATCAAATTCCCTTCTCTTATATCTATCTCATTGAAGACATTGGTGAAGTAGTTGATAAAAATGACGTTAGACTTAGAGCCACAAAAGTCTAGAGTCGGTGGTGGACTATTCTTTGGCGGGAAGGATAGAGTACCTTACGTGCCATGCAAGAAAAAAAATCTCTTTTGGATGTTGCTTTTTCTCACAGTAAGAAACGGTTATTTGATAATGCTCAACGGGAAGGGCAACTGATGAGATCGGGTGCTGTTAGAGACACGGATGGCGAACTGAGTTTTACAGTACATGACGGACGGAGTACTTCTACGTGAAACACTTAAAGACTCTGATTTAGACAAGTACAGCTAATGTATTGATAAATTTCCCTCTCTCAACTGATTGTTGTTTGTTTGAAATAAAGACAATGTTATTAATCATTTAGTTTGAAACTGTTTCAGTGTTATTGTTATGGATGAAGCCCATGAAAGGTCTTTAAACACGGATGTCCTCTTTGGAATATTGAAAAATGTTGTAGCCAATCGTCGTAGACACAGGCTACGGTAAAATGAAGGTGTACAACCCTAGGATGGGTATGGATGCTCTCCAAGTCTTCCCTATTAGCCGTGCTGCGGCTGACCAGGCCGAGCTGGTCGAACAGGCCCTGGTACATGCTATCGGTTGTATACAGAGACTGCTTACCTAAACGAAATGTTGGCTAGTCCCGTTCCAGAGATTCAGAGGACCAACCTTGGCAATGTGGTTTTGTTGCTGAAATCTCTTAAAGTTGAAAATTTACTCGACTTTGGTTTTATGGATCCACCTCCGCAGGATAATATTCTCAATTCAATGTACCAGTTGTGGGTATTGGGTGCCCTTAACAATGTGGGCGGATTAACTGAACTTGGCTCGAAAATGGTCGAGTTTCCACTGGATCCTCCTCTTGCTAAGATGCTTTTGATGGGTGACAAGTTTGGATGTCTTGAGAAGGTTCTGACGATTGTTTCCATGTTATCAGTACCATCTGTTTTCTTTAGGCCAAAGGAGCGAGCGGAGAGAGTGACAAAGCACGCGAAAGATTTCTTTTGCCAGAGTCCGATCATTTGACTCTCTACGATGTTTATCAGCAATGGAAACAACATGATTACAGAGGTGATTGGTGTAATGAGCATTTTTTGCAAGTTTAAGGTCTAAGAAAGGCTAGAGAAGTGAGATCCCAGCTGCTTGATATTCTCAAGACTCTACGAATTCGCTTAACCACGTGCTGGCCTGATACAGACATTGTCCTAAAAGCAATTTGTTCTACATACTTCCACCATTCAGCAAGATTAAAGGGTGTTGGGGAATACGTTAACTCCCGGAATGGGATGCCATGTCATCTTCACCCTAGTAGTGCTCTCTATGGCATGGGTTGCACTCATGATTATGTAGTTTATCACGAGATAATTTTAACGACAAAGGAGTATATGCAGTGTGCCACCACGGTGGAACCCCAGTGGCTCCCTTAGTTGGGACCGATTTTTTACTCGGTGAAGGAGTCTGATACATCACTACTACATCATAACAAGAAACAGAAACAAGAGAAAACGGATATGGAGGAGGAAATGGAGATTTTAAAGAAGGAGGAAGCAGAGTTTGAGAGAGAAAATAAAAGGAAGAAGAAGAAAAATATTGCCAAGAATCAGCAACAAATTTCCATGCCAGGTTTGAAAAAGAGTTCTTCCAAGTTCTGGAGACCAAAAAAGTTTGGTTTGTAAGTGTTGTGTATAATTCAGAAATATTTATGAACTCATGGGAGAGATGGAGGTAAAAAAAGGCCTATATTCAGATTTAGTTACGAATTATTGTTATAGCTTTGTTACTGAAGTTGAATTACTGAGTTTTAGCATAGCACATTTCAGAAGAAATTTACCTGTCACCAAATTGCCATCTCCTTAGATTTGAACATCTTAATATATTGTTCTATTGTCATCTATTTAACTTTCTGCCTTTCACATTACAAACAATTTTTAGTTCAACATCTTTTTAGCACAAAATTAAATTAATTTTGTATTACTCATTAACCATGATTATCTATTGAAAAAGAAAATTAAAATCAAACTGCCACACTACACTGATGTAGTTTATTTCACCTAATACAAACTACATTTTTTTAAATCTCCCTAATATATACATTATCATTCATCCTTTACACATACGAGTTCTGAGACATTAATAAAATCTCTTTCTGCACCAGTTCAAATATTTTCTCCAATTGAGTTTTAAACTTGGCTGTTATGTTCCTGTTGATCCTTTGCTGAAACTTTGAGCTCCTAAGCCACATAATGCCAATGTATACATCACATTTGCATGCACATTCGTCAAGAACTGATTTCTCGATTTCGTACCTAAAATGAATCTGCAGCAAAAATATCAGATTCCCTTTGCAACATGGAACAATATGAACAAAATTTATTTATGAAAAAGACAATGAGACTGAGTTTCAAGTTTAGCATACATGGAAATGATCAGAAAATGGGACACCATTAAGGACCATAACTTCATTCACAATCCATCCTTCAGTGTTTGTATTTGGTAATTTTTGTTGTGTGCTTGTGACATCGAAAACTGACAGATGACGGTTAAATTGGTAAGAAACATGCCTTTCTAGGACATCAGGTTTTACTAGTTCCCAATCTGTAGTGTCATAGTTCATACAACCAGTTCTCTTCATAATCTTATGTTCTAGGTGTCCTCCATCAAAAATTCCCACCATCACTGATCTCATCTGTGTAAGAGTAACAAAACAGATTAAAGAAAGGCTTAATAATAATACTGTGTACAAAAGAATCTTTAATTCTTAAAGGAGGTTCTAGTAAATGCTAACACACATCAAATAAAGAAGTTTCCTACGCCATGTCTATTTCTGGTGATTGATTGGTTACCTTAATGGGTAGTTCTGCAGAGAAAATTCTGGACATTTTTTCCTCAGCTTCTATCATAGATCCAGAATTCTCAGGCATTAACAAGACTTCCTGATCCTCATGCTCTTCTGTAATCTGGTCTTTCTGATAGGGGTTGAGTATTCTTGTTCTCCACAATGCCGTTATTGTTCTTTCATAGAAAGAGAATGTGTTGTCAGCTGAATTTCAATATATACCATCAACTCTTTGATTGACAGAAAGTTTGACAGAATTACGGAGTAATACAATGATTTAAGCAAAAGCTACATTTTAGAGCTTTAAGAAATTCACAATGCCTTCGTAATTTGTAGGACTCATTGTGATTCACAGCATGCACTTAGTGGATAAGATTAGAAGTATATGCATGCTGCTGATTAATAATACCTGGATGCAGAACCGAATGAGACAAATGACTGAAAATGAAACCTAAGTCTTCCTTCTTCATCTTGCATCTTGGCACCATGTCTTGCATCAGTGCCTCGTCCTCTTCGAAGAATTATGACCAAAGTAGGGCTTCCTAATGATGCTAATGATGGAGGAAGTACTTGAATGCTTTCAATATCTTCCCAAAGGAAGAAAAAATTGGTTTTATGTCCAAATAGATTGGCATAAAATCCCATAATCCTTGCCGAAAGAAATAGTCGACCCTGCATTAGAAGGTATGCGCATTTAGTTTATGAAGTTCATAATGACATTCTAACAATCTCCACTCTGAAGCATTATATTGTCTGTGCTTAAAGTTTGTGAACCACAAGAACTACAACAACAAAGTCTTATCCTAGAGGAGGGTGGACTACATGGATCAAACGACACCGTAATATTCTATTATATATCATATGTCTATCCTACCACATGTTGTACCTGTAAAGGCATTTTTCTCTTCAGGTAACATGTGAAATCGTTGATCAGAAATTCTTCTGGAGGCAACCCAAACAATTTCTGGAATGTAGAATTCCTTTGAGGTGATGGAAGACTCAACTACAATCCAACAATCAATAGTCCAATTAAATAAGTAGTTAACTTCTAAATGTTCTACACTTATTATGAACAAGGAAAGTACATATACTTGGAGAAGATTGTGCTTACCTTTTTGCCTACTTCCTTTTCCTTCTTCTCCAAGTAATCCTTTATAGTTTCAACTCCTTTATTATTATCCAAGAAAATTCTCAAATGCAATTTCGATTGAACAGAAAGAGTGGGCTTTCCCTCAAGCATGACCCACATGTCTGCCAATTCTGTTGACGTGTGCTTTAGGAAATTGATTTCAGCATGTCCAAGTGAAACATCCTGGTCAAATGGACCATCAAAATCAAAAACTTCCACCCCTAGAACTGACGGCGGTTCTTCCATAGCATCGAACTCTAATAGCTCTGCATATTAGTATAAAAACCAATAGGGAATTTAAGTAAAGAACATTCATATCAGAACAATTTATTTATTTTTAAATAACTAACAAGTATGAAGGCCAAACCATTCCATTGAGGATCCAATGTCTCAAGCTTGACAGAGCTTGACCTTGTTTGTCCATTACAAGTGAAAACCACATAGGGATCTGACAACCCTGTTGATTCCAATGAAGCCAGGTCAACCCCCTCAATTAAAGCTACAGTAACAACCCATCCATCACCATGTGCCTTCATGCCGTGGTCAGTTCCTATCATAAGAGGATGAAATCAAAACTAACCTTGTTGACGAGTATGAAGTACCAACAGAAATAAAGACATCAGATATGTTGGGCACGGATGAAAATTTGTGAAAATAGAATTGAATATAACCACATGCATCAGTGTCTTGTCGGTGTTAGACACCGTACACACCTTTGATCACAAATCTCAACAAATATTACAATATTCGGTTCAAATAACCTGCTTACCCATTTGAAATCTAGCTTGCACAAAGTGAGATACCATATTATAAACACGCTGCAACTGGATTACTAAAATTCCACTTGTAACCAGCTCTCCTAAGCTATCTGGCAGCTCAATCCCTCTAAATTCCAAGCCCTGAGGTTGACTTGGACCACACCTTAAAATATGCAACAACACATACAAAAACATAAAAAGTGTGGAAACTGATGTGAGATTCCAGAAGTATGCAATTGCCTGCCACCAATTCCACTGGCTTTCTGTCTGCACAGTAGCTAAGAATTGTTCTTTGTTAGTAAAATTTTCCTTATCTAGCACCTTGAAACTCCGAGCAAGTAGGTTGGAAAACTGGTCAAAACTCTCCTTCAAGCCTTGTTTAGCACCACTCTCTATCACACCTTTCATCATTGTGCTTTGAAGGAAGATAATTCCCCATGATATTATAAGGTGAGAGGATTCCTCTCCAGAAGACACATCTGCAGGCATTATCTTGTAAAGCAATTCAACTCGAAATGTATTCCCATATGGAACCTCAGGAGTGCATACACTAACAAGTACATTAAATTCATCTTTAGTTACTCTAATATAGGTTTGATCCTCAGTGGCATTGACAGCCTTAACTAATTTTGAAGCAGCTTTTGTATAAGTAACAACTCGAGTCAAACAAGACATGTCTTCACTTTTCCAGGACCAAGCTCCCTCTTGTAAATTTGTTGTTCCTTGTAGTTCTGCTAAATCTTTCCTAAACTGTGAATTTGGTGCAAAAAGAACAACATTAAGGTTGTACGGAGACACTGCATAAATCTTATCTACTAGAATGCCACCTTGCAAATTTTCAGGACTTTCTGGCTGGTTATCTTTTGATTCCATAATTGCAATGCCTTCTTCAAAGCTACATGGAGATGAACTTTCCTGTACACTGTCTTCATTATCAGATAATGAATTTGATGATTCTGAACAATCCACAGATTTTGGGTTTCGTTCCTTTTTATTAAAAATCCTAGCAATAACCTTGAAAAAATGTTTGCCTTCACCCATTTTATGAATTTTCCGAAATGATGGTTGAGATGAAATGTGAAGACCTTCCAAGTCTGTTGAGTTCTCAGATGCAGTAGTTGAGTTTGGAGAATGCTTATGATTTATTAAAGTAGTTGAGTTTGGAGAATGCTTATGATTTATTAAAGAAGCATGGTCCTTGCAATGAAGAGATATTGTAAGAAGAATCTTCCCTGATCATTTACAATACAAGCCATCAAGATTAAAAAATCAGTCTCGTATGTTGAACAGTAGCTCAAGAAACACAAGAAATTAATAACTATGGTTAAACCTTCAACGAACAAAACAGTGTAAAAGGTAAAATTCGAAATGCCTAGTACTTCGGGTAATGGCCAAAAAAATTCGAGAATTGATTCCACGAACTGATTATGCCACAATTAACCCATAAAATTGATTTAGCGTGTGTTTGGATTTGCCTTTGAACACCAAATATAACCGATGATTCTACAATTAACCCATATTATTGTTTTAGTGCGTGTTTGGATCCACCTTTGAACACCAAATATAACATCCCAATGCAAGTTTTTTAAATGTGAAAATGCTGAAGCTCTAACATTAAGCTTTATTCAAATCAGTTCATGTATCAAAACAGTCACACATTTATTATTCAAAACAGTCAATGTATCAAAAACATAAATCAATTTACTTTCAAATCACTTATAGCCAAAAACAACTCATTCAAAATCAATTTTTATCACAACAGAACTAATCACAGACTTAATCAATAAGTTTGTTAAATATTTTGAGTTGGAATCAAGCTATCAAGCTATGTATAATTTGACTAACCAGCTAAAACGCTCCGGATGCAAAATGCAGCATCAACTCATGATTTGAACACATTAAATCACCACTCTAACCTATAAGTTCCTTAGTAAACATTACTCAGCATATATA